CCTGGAGGATGCTTAAACCATTCACCTTGAATGGTTTCAGCCATATCAGTGTTAATATCTGGACAATAATACTTCCTTTTAGACCATACACAGTTTCTCTTAGATTACTTTCACTTCCCATATATCCTTACTGTCTGCCATACAGATATGATATTAGTTTGGAGAATTTGGTATTGGATCAACTGATAATCTCCTCTATTGATATTTTATCTTTATCCTCATCACTTGTCTGCTTGATATTGTCTTGATATTGAAAGGATTAATTATTTCTTTGTCACACATGGGAGTTAAGTTTTTACAAAAATAAGAGGTTAGGGGTTTACTCGCATAATGGTCAGTCAGCAGTCTTATATATTATCAAAATATATGAAACTGAAATTTTTACATCCACTGCTTTGACTCTTAGTCTCACTTCCAATAACTTGTAGTTTGAATTTAACTTTGCATTAGTGCATTGCATTACAATATATCTATTCCTCTACACAAAGAGTTTAATTGTCTTGCTCTTTCAAAGTGATCAATTATTCAGAATTTTTTCCTCGGATGTTTAAATAAAATGATGTTAGTCTAGGTACACACTTATGACCTTATATGGAAATAAAATTTTTCAGTTTTAAAACTTCAAAAGTCTATTCAAAACAAGTAACCACATTGAATACAGCAAACATTTAACATGATTGAAGCAGTTGTGCCAAAGAGTGAAATCTCAAGTGTTGTAATTAAAACTTCTGAAAAGTGAAAGTTGGCAAAGTCTGGGTTCAATTTACCTGGTTTATGTAAATTGATATTTGTAAGGGTGCCACGAAACGGAAATATTGGACAAGTTATAAATATTGTAGTTTTGTGGTCTGGAGAAATTTGAATATTTAAATACCACACTACGCCTCCTAACACGATTGAAAATAAAAAGGAAAATTTTGGTACAGTTTTAAACACTTAACAACTCGCGAAAGTACCTAATTGTGCGCTTCGGTTTTAACATTTTACGCCTCAGGCAACTTTTTAGAGGTTACGTGCCATGAAAGAGAGGACCACCGCTGTTTGCAATAATTCTTTGACTTATTGAGCTTATGTTATGATACGAACTTGAAAACAAAAAGCAGATTCTGCAGACATAAATGCTATTTCCGGTGTTCCGAAACAAGACGATTTTCAACGCGACCCTTAGGTCAATAAAGCTCAGCTTCTAAACAAGCGAATGTCAGAGGGATGGGTTCACAAACATTTGGTCAACAACACTTAAATTTGTAACGCACGTAGTCTAATTCAAGCGTAAACATTTCCAGACGAGTTTCAACACAGTTTACAGTCTGCCTTAAAGATACGTGATGAAAAATAAAGAAGGTTTCCGTTCCGCTGATTGGGAAACACGAACTTACCACGCAACAAACGCAATAAAAACTTTGGTAATGTGAATTAATATTTATAATTCTTCCCGTGCAAACCATATTTTCACCTGGCCTTACGCCTGAAATTACGAAAATTATAAGTACCTTGGGGAGTTGGAAGAGGAGGTTTCTTTTCGGTAGTTTCCACGTGTTTCAGTAGATCCTTGTTGAAAACTTCCACTCCAGAAAATGGCGCCGTGCGTTGTTCTTCAGCAATTGCTGCAATTTGACAAGATAGGGAGTTCACACTCTTTAAATTTCACATGACATCGTTGGATTAGCTCACTCAGGGTATTAAAAAAATAACATACACTGAAATGAGTAAATTTATAAATGCTTAAGGAGAAACCAACATACTCTCTTTCGAAGGAAGTGGGTTCTTTTCCTCAGTGTGGGCTTTCTTCAATTTCGACTGGTCGAAATTCTTCACCTCTGAACGATCTGGAAATTCGTCTGGCTGAAGTTCCTGTTTAACAGCTACGACATTCAAAATAATTGCAAATTTTAGACGAAATGTCCATTCGCAGCTCCAAATTAAAATGCAAGCCCAAAAGCTCTGCAAAGAACTACTCTGAGGAAGCTAGACGTGGCGTTTGATCTGAATGGCACTCTCCAATTGTCATCGCTTCAGAAAACCTTTACGTGTAAAATATGCTCACTCATCTCCTAAATAATGCTTCTAGAACTAAGTTAAGCTCTTTACGTACACAGTACAGCTCAAATACTAGCACAAAATCGTTTGTTTCCTCAAAAGACTACTACACAAAAATTCTTTGGTGGTGCAGAGGATATGTCTTGCTATAAAAAAATATCGTTTTCTTACTTTCGCTGGATGGAAGAGTATTCTTTTCCACAGTCTTCACACGTTTCAGTTTGGAGGAATCAAAAGATGAGACCTCCGCAAGACTAGGTTTGTCGTCCGCCATGTTTTCGAGGGATGATCAAGGGAGAATTTTTCGCAGTGCAATGCAAAATAGTTTCGTCTCTTGGCTTGCACGAGCGAATTGGGGACCGCCCCCAGATAGGATACCATTACCATATAAGGCATGGCGTGACACAGTCAAAACACTTCCGGCAAGGTATCTATCTTAGTACAATTTTTAACGGAAAAGTAGTTTTATACTCTGCCTTTTTTGGACATTTATGACATTCCACTGATGTTCGGAGCTCTCAACTCTAACAACTGATTTTCAAAATAATTTTCTTTTTATCATTTTTCTGTTTTCATTTTAAGATGTATTTCGAAATGTACTGTGTAACCCCTGGAGGTGCCAAAAAACGAAGAACAGGTGTCACTGCAGAAAGAAATTTTCATATTTTACGACTTGGGTATAAACCTTTAACTCCCAGAAGTGATTAAAATGTAAATTCTCCCTATAAAACCCACACATTATCTCACCTACAGGTTATGAGGATACTCAAACTCGTCAGATCAGGTGAAGTTATCTTTAATCTAACACCAAAGTCTTGTGACTAATTTATAAGAAATATGAAGCAGCTAGATAGGAGAATTAACAATCAGATCTTGGGAGTTGAAGGGTTAATAAACAAAATTCCTTGTCATGCAGTGTTTTGATAATTTTGACTATCTGTGATCATTTTTGAAATTTTCTTGTTTTCACAACAACATCATGGGATTTGCATTGTAAGAATTCCAAGATAAAATTATTTCACAAGGTAACCACCTGCAACTTTGAAAAGACCTTAAATCAATACTTTTCCAATGCTTTAAATGGTCTTATGATTTTCTTCTTAGAAGGATTGGGAAAGCAACTTTGCACAAATATCCTTCTCCACAATATTTCCCAATATCCAGTTACTTGTCATTTGTTTCTGTGTCTATTAGTTTACCATATTTTTTCCTCTCTGTTTGAGCAAATAGACAAAAAAATCCACAAAAAAATTAACAATTGGTTCATACGTCAGCATGCATTCATCAAGATATGAAGCACACAGGAAGTTTGGAGAGCACGAAAGATGCATAAGAATTGCTCAAGGCATAGCCGAGAGGAACCCTAGCTTCTTGAGTGCCCTCCAAACTTCCCAAGTGCTTCATATCTCGATGAACACACAGCTGACGTATGATCCAATTGTTTTATAACATTTTCAACCCGACGGAAAATTGTTTTTTCTCGAGGGATTTGTTTGCTGACATCATGAGCGTGCACAATGGGAATATGAAGCACACTCACGCAATGGAATTTGATTACACAAATTTACTAGCTATGTTATAAAGAGAGTTAATAAATTTCTCAACTAACTAGTTTAGATATATACTTGGGATTGAATATTTAACAAAATCAGTAACACTAGCTACTTGTCACTCCTTCAAATTTTTAAAATTTACATAAAGAATTTATGTCTTCACTCAGAGAATCTACTTCAAATAGCTAATTTTGTTTTACAGCATATATCTATCATAATTGATGCTTTAAACATTGTTTCCTCACAAAATATTTATTTAGACCTTCCCATTTGTTTAGTCAAGATAACTCAAATTTTTTTCGCACATCCATAAAATTTTGAAAACATGGAGAATTTAGGTTATTTTGAAAACTGTATCATGGAGTCTCCTTTGAGCTTCAAGTTGAACTGAAATAATTTTTAGTATATAATGAGTATAAACCATATTCATTTGCCTTAGATTCCAATCTCACATTATTTTTTAAATTTTTGAACAGGGAAATCTCACTGAAATACCAAAGAATACAATAGCTTTCAAAAACATTCCTTTTTGTTTTCCTCTCTTTAAAACTCAAAAACTTATTTTGTGAAACATGCATGCTAAATATCTGTTCCATATACTACATTTAAAACTGATATGGCTGGAAAATTAAGGACCATGTTCAATGATTATAAACCTTCAAATATTTGATGCAGTGAGCTTGAAAATGCATCATGAATAATGTAGGTAAGAGGGAGAAAAGATATACCCTAGTAGATGGCAAACAAATGCATGACAGAGTTAGTATAGATAAGGCACAACGTCATTTGATTTGCTCCACTAAGCATGATGAGTCAGATCAGTCAATTAAATCTGTGTAAAAATATGGACTTCATGCTGTAATCTGTCTGTTTTCTTTCATCACTGATGTACATGAATTGTGTTTTTGAATCTTGATGCCCATTCTGTGACTTAACATCATGCTCTAAAAATCTTACCCTATGTAGGAAAATTCATTCAACAGAATAACTTTTGATGTTATCTCTGATCTTGTGACTGTCAGCGCGATTTTGTATTAACTGGATCTATGGAATGGTTAACATGTCCAAATAAGGTGAAAGGGCAATAGATAAATTTGTTTTCAATAAACATACGAGGTACTTAATGCACTTTTAGTGTTGTCAATAATAACATTCAACAATTTAACTCAATCATCCCTTAAATGGTAATTAATAGTGTTAGATTACAAATCATTAGCATAATAATATCATGCTTATTATTTGAAAAACAAAGATGTTTTCATTCTGATTCATTTTTATTTCACACACTAATGATTAAAGATAACTAAAATTTACTCAAGTTACAGAAATTCACGTTATTTAAATGTTTCCCTATTAATCTGAGAAAGCTCCAAATCTGACATGTGGGATAGCTGGTTTTCCACAACACTTACACGAAACCTTGTAATAAAAATTTTCAAAGCCAAGAAATGCATTAAAAACCAGAGAAATCGATGTACCAAAAAAAGGCTAATTCTTCATAACGTTTTTTCTACATTTCCTTAGGTGCTGACGAGGAGAATTTGTTTAAGAATCAAGAACCTCTTTAATTAGTTGGTGATCATTTCCTTTATTCTCCTGCTATTAATGTGTGATTCAGGGGGTGATATTGTAACAACAAATTAGATCCTTGTCACTTCTAAGATCCTAAGATAGATACCAGAGTCTTAATTGTGGTAAAAGACAATAAAATTCATAGAGAAACAGTTCAAATCACATGGTAATTTGAATTTCATCAATAACAAGCTATCATCCTATAGAAACACATTTCTTGAAATTTTTCAAAATAAAAGAACCTCGGCCACACAAAACTGAATTCCTTTCAAATGAGGACCATGGGAATGTACTAAATCCATAACCTTGCCCCATCTGTAATTCAACCACACCTATGATTACCCATGCATTATAAAAGTAAGAGATAACTGGATGATGGCTTTTTTGCCTGCCTCAAAAAATAAGACATTTTCCTTAATAATTGCCAAGTAATATTATCACTGTAACATTAATGTTATCATTTTCTGTCAGCAAATATTATCTTTTTCTACCACATATTGTATTATTGATCCTGTTATTCCCATGGGTGAGCAAGATATAATTTCTCTTCACAACAGCACTACAATATCAACCAGAGGATTATTAGTTGATCCAATAACAAATCCTCCAAGCTAACATCATGAGAATTATATGGTATACAGTAAGTGGAATTTGCATGCACTAATGAGATCTTCAGAGTGAAAGGTTCAACACGTAAACTTGCCCAAAAGAGCCCAATGTAGAAACACAGTACCCATTATGGTGAATTCAACTGGTGCCAAGAGTTAAATAATACTATATACAATTCATAACCATTGAATTTGCTATGAAATTTTAAATACGATTTTACTCATTATAGAGAAGAAAAAAAATCATAATTGTGGTCCAATACAAATCATCATGAGAGTTTTCTTAAAGTATCCCAAATTACTCTTCTAAATACATCCTGATGTTTCAGTGATCCTCCTACATGACCACTGTCTATATATTCCACAGTGCACCCAGGCCAGATGTCAGAAGGACTTGTCTGATTGTTGCGTGGAATATAAGCATCGTTTTTAGCTACCACAAAATGAACCAGACTTGGATCGACAGGTGGAGGAAAATTCCTTAAATGTGTTTCTTCATCCATAACGTAATTCATAAAATCTAAAGTTGATTGTTTGGCAGGTAAACCTTCCTTGAGATTGATGTTTCTTAAGATTGATGGCAGGTTCTCAAAAATGTTGGTTTTCAAGCCATTGAAGATATCCTCTTGTTTCAGAAAGAGTGTCTGAATTTCACTGTTATCCAGATTTTTCCCCTTCTGTTCCATCAAAGATTGGGATAGTGAGTTCATATCGCTATAACCATTCACAGAGCTTTTGCTTAAATCATCAGCATCAAATTTGGTGAATACATTTCCACTAAGAGGGATGTAATCTAACAAACTGTTCCTGTAGTCTTCACATGAAAGCTGTTTCTCTAATGTATCCCATGAACATGCACGACTCATCACACCCTAAAAATCCAGGACATAAAAAAAAGGCTATTTTCAGTATACACATTCCTCACACTGTTCTCTATACATTTCCTTAGGTGCTAACAAGGAGAATTTGTTGAACAATCAGGAGGTTCTTAAATTGGTAATAATTTCCTTTGTTCCCATGACCTTCACATTAAATACCAGTAATATTCATGCATTTATAAAGCACCTTCTTCATGGCATGAATGCACTAATGCCCATAACCCTTTCACTCCCAAGATCTGCACAGTAATTCTCCTTACTATCTGCCATATAATTCTTATAATGTTGGTTTGGAGAATTTGGTATCCGATCGACTAAAACTCCCCTGATTGCTATTTTTCTTTATTCTCATCCCTTGTCTGCTTGATAATGCATTGACACTCTAAGGAGAAATTCTCTCTTGGTCACTCATGGGAGTTAAAGGGTTAACAACACTTTGCTGGGGACTTTAACCAGACTGTGTTCTGCAGTTTACAATTTCTTCTACAAAAGAATATAGCAGATGCCCTCAATTTTGTAAACAAGGCCAGACCACGTACTTTACTTCCCAACTCTTTGAAAGAAGTAGGATTTTTTAGCACCTCCTGCTAACTAGTAAAAAGAAGATGGCCTGTAGCTTGCTGTCCTTATCTAAGAAGACTAGAATGCCTAACCATTTCTCCTCAGTTATTCAAAGACCCTGAGTGTTGGTCTGGTCTATGGCCAACACCTCCAAAAATGAAAATTGAAGTTTTCATGAATCTCAAATGATTGCTGATCATGGCAGAAAGCTGGGACATGTCAGGAAAAAATATGTTCAAGATTTTCCCAATTCGTCGCCAACCATCCTAAACAGTCAGGGGACCTTTTACAAACAATTTGAGATCTCATTTGTTGTAAAAATCTGGGACAGTATAGAAACAGCAAATTTGCCAATGTTCTGGAATTTTTCTGACAAATCCAGGCTTAAAGATGAAGCAAATACAAATGAATCACTGAAGATGATCAAATAATTCTTCATAATAATTCTTTATAAATTACCTCAGTAAAGACACAAGATGCCGTACTCCAAGAGAGACAAGGCACAATAGCAAGTGGTTTAGTCCAGGCAGTACATGCAAGTGAAGCCATGTGTCCACCCATGGAAATCCCTGTTATTCCCAGTGGTCCATAGCCCTGCTGTTCACACCACTTTAAGAGAACAAGTGACTCTAAAATCAATGCTGCTCCCATGACAAACAAATCTACCACATGCAGGAGGCTGGATCGAAGTTGATTTTTCGGTTTTCTCATGCCGTAAAACGGATTTTCCAACAGCAAAGACGCAATACCATATTGCTTCGCCAAAGGTTTGGCCGTAAGGTTTCTTCTTCGCCAAAAGTAGTGGTCACCAGTGCCCGCGAGATGTAGACACGCCGGTTTGTGTCCATTTCGTGGCCATTTTTTGGGTATAATGACCTGAAAGTGGGCTTTTTCACTTTCTTTGGGTAACAGATCGGGAAAGTACCTGGCCAGAGGTGACGTGAAGTGTCCTTCGGCGATGTAAAATGATTCTTTCGTCCTTGATTTGTTCAATTCAACCGGATAGCTTGAAGAAATCAGTTTGTGGCATTTTTCTCTGTCAGTAACGGTCTTGCGAGCTTCGAGAAGGCGTTCATAGACGTTAATATCTCCCCATCCTTTTGAGAAAAACGAAGATAATATTAATCGGCGGTAAATTACATCAATTTTGCTTGCAAAACACATCTAGAGAGGAGAAGTTTTTAACAGTATCGATGCATGGATGAAAATTACGGTATTGATAGCTGAGTAGCCAAGCCTGTATATGGCGTTACCATAATAACGATATGTAGTCGGGAATTACTCGTGGTGTTAGTTTTCCGTCGATAACTACTCGGCTCAGTTCCCGGAATTACTCGTGTTACTGCAGGAATGCAGTGGGTATGTGAAGCGGATATGAGCAATTGATTCGACACTTCTCTTCCGTAGAATTCACGATTTTCGTAGACTTGACGATGGTTTAACCGCTTTCAGCGCTCCTGGTGAATCAATATAGGAGTGGACGTGATGTTTTCAGTGAACTTGGCGAAGCATTAGACAAACAAAACACCATGAGCGTTCCGCTTCGTGCCAACATCTCTCGCGGAAATCCCGAGAAGGTGTTCGATTTGATCGAAAAAGTTGGAGGTGGAACATATGGAGACGTTTTTAAGGTTCGGAATCGCCTGATTTATTTTCTCTAAAACGGTTGATTGGCTCAATCTTCAATATTTCAGCCATGGGTAAAGTTCGGCCGTACAATTTCACTGATCGCAATGAAAACTTTCTCTCTAGGCCAGAGTCATCTCTACAGGGGAACTGGCTGCAGTGAAAGTTGTAAAAGTCGAACCAGGTAAGAAATCTCTGATTTATGACTCTTCCTTAATTGAAATAATGTCTACGATTCCAGTATTAAGAAGGTGGGTGTTAAAACCAGACAGAATAGGCTTCTTACAATTTATTATATACAGTCTTAAAGTAATCCCTTATTTCAGTTTTTGAAGGGGTATTCAATTTCGACTTCGAGCAAATGTCATGTCACCTAATTTGTTCCTTTGGATGGTTTACCGGTCTCTCGAATCATGACATCGTCCTCACAGATTGCATTTCCATCATGTATAAGTCGCTGTTCTTGCAACTGATCGTAAAATGGATTTGTTTCCTCTGATGTTTTATTGTACGTTACGTTCCTGACCTTTAATGATGCAAATTTTTCACATCATGCAATTGTGAAATCAATATTAATTTCCATCTCGTTTGCAAAAACAAAACAGCAAATGTTACTTTGATTATTTAGAATTATTTTACACATGCAGATTAAATGGCGTTCTAGAGATTAAAAAGCCATTTATATAAAGGCGTTTTATTTTGATGTCGCCACACTGTAATTCAAACATAATTCCTACTTCAGAGAAAGTATTCTAAAGTGATGAAGATGGAGGATTGTTTATAGCTTGTGACTGGAACTAAAATTATTGCAAAGCTCTTAAATGAGGGCAATATAAATTTTTAATATTAATATAGATTTCTCCTTAGACTTTTTTTACTTTGAGAAGTAGATTTCATGCAAATGTTTCAAATGAAATTCCATGTATGCTACTAAACTAGGCTAATATCTTCAGTCACGTTGAGGAATTTCAGAAGGGAAACCTCCCGGGATGGAAGAGGTTGTTATTATTTGTATAAATTAATTCATTTTTATACTTGAAAATTGCTGAAATAGGTGAGAAAATGATTTAAAATCATTATCAACTATGTAAGTTAAGATTGTGTCACAATTTTTGCTCAAGTGATGTTTCATGGTT